TTTCAGACGGGGTACCGTAATTAATATTAATTGCTCTTTATTAATCTATAGTGGCATTTCTTTTAAACTGTTATCAATTGGCCAGAGTATAGATTGATGTTGTGGCGTATGTATAGTATTTTAAATATCTATAGTCCACAGCACCTATGGTATGTCGTTTAACGTTTATCTATTGTTGACAGTTTAAATTGACTTGTGCATCTGTGGATTTTTAATAAATTAATGTTATGTGCGTCTATGATTGTTTCACATTTATATGTCATTTAGTTTGTCATGTAAACTTGACGCTTGTCGCCATTTTACAATTCAGCTTTTTTACTTGGTTTTTGATGCGTGTTTCTAGGTGTGTTTAATCTCTTCCTTAATTAATCGTGTAATTAATATGTTTTTTGCCCATTTCTACAGATCGTTCAACAAATGAGGGAGTTAAAGTTCATTTTGGTCGTACTGAAACAACCATTATCTACATGGGTGTGGTCTTTGGTGAACTACATCCTTGATTTGCTATTTTCGTCTTCGCTTTGCATCAGTATGCAGTTAGTTTTGAACTGATGAGTGAGAAGCAACTGGATATTTATTTGAATTCCGCTGAAATAAGAAACTTTCTGCATTGGAATTATTCCTGGATATGGTTTGCTTTTCACACCTGCAAACTTTGAAACATTACAGTCTAGAGTTAATTAAGGTGAGAATACTTCATATAATTAATTTTAATTGCTCTTTATTAATCTACAGTGGCATTTCTTTTAAACTCTTATTTATTGGCCGTAGTATAGATTGAGGTTGTGGCGTATGTATAGTATTTTAAATATCTGTAGTTCACAGCATCTATGGTATGTCGTTTAACGTTTATCTACTGTTTACAGTTTTAATTGACTTAAGCATCTGTGGAGTTTTAATAATTATCTATGGTCTACATTAAAAATTAATGCTATATGCATCTATGATTAGTTCACATTTAAATGTCATATTTAGTCTGTCATGTAAACTTGACGCATGTCACCATTTTATAGTTCCGCTGTTATACTTGGTTTTCGATGCGAGTTTTTAAATGTGTTTGATCTCTTCCTTATTTAATGGTGTGATTAATATGTTTTTTCCCCATTTTTACAGATTGTTCAACAAATGAGAGGGAGTTGAAGTTCATTTTGGTCATACTGAAACAACCATTATCTACATGGGTGTGGTCTTTGGTAAACTATATTCTTAATCTGCTGTTTTCGTCTTCGCTTTGCATCATGATGCAGTTAGTTTTGAACTGATGAGTGAGAAGCAACTGAATATTTACTTGAATTCCATTGAAATAAGAAACTTCCTGCATTGGCATTTTTCCTGGATTTGGTTTGCTTTTCACAGCCGCAAACTTTGAAACATTACAGTCTAGAGTTAATTGAGGTGAGAATACTTCATATAATTAATTTTAATTGCTCTATTAATCTATAGTGGCATTTCTTTTAAATTCTTGTCTATTGGCCGTAGTATAGATTGAAGTTGTGGCCTATGTATAGATTTTAAATATGTGTAGTTCACAGAATTTATGGTATGTCGTTTAACGTTTATCTACTGTTTACAGTTTTAATTGACTTGAGCATCTGTGGAGTTTTAATAATTATCTATGGTCTACATTATAAATTAATGCTATATGCATCTATGATTAGTTCACATTTACATGTCATATTTAGTCTGTCATGTAAACTTAACGCGTGTCACCATTTTGTAGTTCAGCTGTTATACTTGGTTTTTGATGCGTGTTTTTAAGTGTATTTGATCTCTTCCTTATTTAATAGTGTGATTAATGTGTTTTTTCCCCATTTCAACAGATTGTTCAACAAATGAGAGGGAGTTGAAGTTCATTTTGGTCGTATTGAAACAACCATTGTCTACATGGGTGTGGTCTTTGGTGAACTACATCCTTGATTTGCTGTTTTCGTCTTCGCTTTGCAACATTATGCAGTTAGTTTTGAACTGATGAGTGAGAAGAACTGGATATTTATTTGATTTCCACTGGAATAAGGAATTTTCTGCATTGGCATTATTCTTGGATTTGGTTTGCTTTTCACACCTGCAAACTTTGGAACATTACAGTCTACAGTTAATTAAGGTGAGAATACTTGATATAATTAATTTTAATTGCTCTTTATTAATCCGTTTGCCACCGTATCTGTTTCAGATCGACGTTGGAGAAGACAAAGATGACCCAGTAGTTGAAATAGTTCTTTATCTTGCATGCTCTATCTAGTAGATTTCATTAAGTTCGTTTTATTTTATTTTTTTGTAGTTTGTTATAGATAATTTGATTTATTTTTTATTTTGCATGTTTTTTTTGTAGTTTCTTATAGTTAATTTGTTTTATTTTGCATGTTTTTTTGTAGTTTCTTATAGTTAATTTGATTT